ACTTTAGATTGAAATGAAAGTCAGTATTGCTAGAAAAATGGTGACTCTTTTTCAGTTTATGATAAAATCTTTATAAATTGCTATATTTACTATATGTAAATATATCCTTCTTTAGATTGAAAGGAAGAAGTATCAATGCCTCGAAGGCATTGATGCTTCTTTCTTCCTTTTTGTGAAATAAGCTTATTTTGTTAAAATATATTGGCAGCACCATGCAAATATATTTGGTGAGTGATCACCATTGTAAGCAAATTGCAACAATATAACTATGGTCTATCAATTCAGATTTTACTTTAGGATCTCTGATTGTACAGTATTACCAAGAGCTGGGATGATATAAATAAACTAAAATATTAAAACCAAGTGACCATTCTCAGTTCTGATTTTACAATAGCGGGATATCATTGGCGAAACAGTGGAGATGTTTGGACACTGGGCACTGTCCCAAGGAAGCTCTACAGTACTGTCCTGATTACTGGTCTCCAACAAATGCAGATATTCTTCATTTGTACTAGCTATGACACTAACCAGTGGAAAAGCTCCATCTAATCACACCGATTTAAATTTTACTTAGGATCCTTAATATTATATTCTACCAAATACTGTGTTTTAAATGGAAATTCCTTCTAACTCATCGCTGGAATTCAGTTGTTTTGACCACGTTTGGACCAAAGCTGTAATGAACCAAGTGGTATGGCATAATAAAGTGAGCATTGATGAGCAGATTATTAGTGAGGTGGTTTTGCTGTACAGTACTATCAATAATACTGTTCATTAATTTACATACGATTTAGAACAGATGGATGGATAGATAATAATAGGCTAGATTGGTTTTGCACTCTTTGAACAAGATATACCAACATCTTTATGCATTTTGGTAGATATTTTCATAAGTGTTTTGGAACAGCTCAGAAAGAGGTACAGCCAGATCTGGAACATAAGTCTTCATCACTGCAGCCAGGACGTTACCAAGGCTCATAGTCTTGCTTGACCAGAGCGATCAGCAAATTCTCAGCAGCAAATCCAATTGGCTGAAATGTGGTATTTATGTTAACGGTCTAAATGAGATAGATCATCTGAGAATTCATGGTTGAAGATGACTATAAACATTCAGCATTGCCCACTGAACTCAAGTTTAGGGCTCTGTCAACATAGATGATTTTAATGCTCATGGAATAAGGAGTGGCAGATGGAGTTTAATTTATCTAAATGTGAGGTGTTGCATTTTGGCAAGGAAAATCATGGCAGGACTTGCACAATGAATGGTAGGGCCCTGGGGAGTGTTGCTGAACAAACAGCCCTAGGGTTGCAGATGCACAGTTCCTTGAAAGTGGAGTCAAAAAAGGTAGACAGGATGATATAGAACGTATTTGACACGCTTGCCTTCATTGGTCAGTGCACCGAGTATAGGAATTGGGAGGTTATGTTGCAGTTGTACATGATGTTGGTGAGGCCACTTTTAGAATACTGCATTCAGTTCTGGCCTCCCTGCTGTAAGAAAGATGTTGAAAGGATTCAGAAAAGATTTACAAAAATGATGCTGGGAATGGAGGGTTTAAGCTATAGGGAAAGACTGAAGATGCTTGGGCTTTTTATCCCTGGAACGTTGGAGGCTGAGTGATGACCTTATGGAGGTTTAGAAAATCATGACAAGCACAGATAATGTGAATCTTTTGCCCAATTGAGTCCTCAGCGACATACCTACAGTAAAACCACTCTCCAATACATGGCCCATAGCCTTGAATGTTATGACATTTCAAGTGTCTATCCATGTATTTTATAACGGTTGAGAGACTTCCTGCCTCTATACCCTCTCAGGAAGTGTATTCCAGATCCAACATCAACTACCTGTTGCCTACCACTTTAATGCACCACCCTGCTTCCTGGCCAACATCTGTCTCTGGCTTGCTGCAGTGTTCCAGCAAAGCCAAACGCAAGCTGGAGGTACAACACCTCATTTTCTGCTTAGGGACCCTACAGTCCTCCGGACTTAGTGAGTTCAATAATTTTACGGCCTAAACTCTCCCTTGTCCCAGCCCCCTACCCCACACACCAGGCCTTGTTACCACATAGCCTGCCATTACACACGCCCTGTTGTTAGTCACCAACAGTCCCCATTAATAACTGGTCACCCTCCCAGCCTGATCATTAGCAACTCCTTTGTCTGTCCAACTGTCTTCCTCTCTTTGGGCTCTATCCTGTCATTTACTCCCTACCCCACCCACCTCCCTATTTTGTGCATATAAACCGACATTTTCCCAGCCACTATCAGTTCAGAGGACAGGTCACCGGACCCGAAACGTTAACGGTTTTCTCCTTCACAGATGCTGCCAGGCCTGCTGAGCTTTTCTAGCAACTTTGTCTTTGTTCCTGATTTACAGCATCCGCAGTTCTTTTAGTTTTTGTTTTTTTTTTTAATATAGGGAATTCCAGATTCCTACCACTCTCTTCACATCACCTCTAAATATCTTGTTCTTCACCTGAAAACAACAATACCATCTCATTATTGACTCAACTAAAAAAGGGAACACTCCTACTTCCTATGTAAGCTGTCCATATCCTTCAATTTTATACACTTCTATCAGATCCATCCTCGGTATTCTCTACTCTAAACAATCTCATCTCATAGCTAAAATGCTCCAACCCAGGCGATAGCTTGGTGAGTCTCCTCTACATTCCCTCAAGTGCAATCATGTCAGTTTAATAGTGAGGCAACCAGAAATGCACACAGAACTCCACTGCGGCCTAACCGGAGTTTTGCATACCTTCAACATAACCTGTTCTATATTCTAAGCCACAACTGATAACGGCAAGTGTCCTGTACGCCTTAAGCACCACGTTAACTTGTCCTGTGCCTTCAGGGATCTGTGGGCAAGCACCCCAAGATCCCTTTGTTATGTGTCCATGCCACCTTCAGTGCTTCTTCCAAATAGTGCTTGAACATCACTGATATATCAGCTCAGGGAGAGCAGTAGGTGGTATAGAAGCTTTCATAATCAACAGAAGGTATTCTTGGTTATGATTGATGTGATACCATGAAACCTTTTGGGGTCTGGAGTCAACACTGACATGTCCCCAGGTCCTTTTCTCGAGAATGCATGCCAATATACTGCCACCTCCGGTGTGTGAAGCACTATGGATCCAGAAATGAGTATACAGGATGGAAGCAAAATACTGCAGATGCTGAAAACTTGAAATTAAAAACAAAGTGCTGGGAAAATCTGCGCACCTGGCAGAGAGAAAATGTTTTGAGTCAAAGAGGATTTCCTTCAAAAAAGTGATGAGATTTGTGCTGTATAAAAAGCTAGGGAGTAGGTTGGAGGGGAGGTAAAAGGAGAAAGGAATCTCATGGACAGGGTTAAAAAGGACACCATTCTAAAATGCCAAAAATGTCATGACAGCAGTAAATACCAATATTAGAAATAAAGGAACAAAGTATTGATCCAGAACAAACTAAAGATCATCTCTGACTGAAAGCAGAAACACTTGAACAAGTCACTAACTAGGCCTAAGCTGGGCTGTGACGTACCATCCGGGTGCCACACTTCAGGAATGATGCAAACACACTGGAGCAAGAGTACAGGACAGGTTTATAAGAACATATTCTAGGGACAAGAAATTTCAGTTATGAAGGCAGATTGGAGAAGATTGGGACTGCTTTCCTCAGAGAGGAGAAAGCAAAAAGGAAATGTGATTGATGTTTTCAAAAATCACAAAGAGGTCTGAAGAGGTAGGGAGACACAAGAGATGGGGAGAAACTGCTCCCATTTGTAAAAAGAACAGAGAATGATGGGGCTAAAATTAATCATAATTAGCAAAAGAAGCAAATATAATGTAGAAATAAACTTTGAGTATTTAACATCTGCAATACACTGCCCGAATGGATGGTGGAAACTGATTCAAAGTATTGGATGATCATTCAATAGAAGCAGTGAACAGCATTCTTCTGCACTGAAAGGCTTCTGTGAAGATACATACAAGCACTGGGGTAGAAATCAAAATGGAGGACATATTTGTGGTTTAAGTTGTGAAAGTCAACATGGAGTCCAGAAGATGAGGTACTTTTCCTCTAACTTGTGCTGGGCTTTAGTGGAGTATTACAACAAGCCCAAGGAGGACATCTTTGTGGACTGAATGCAGGAGCCTATCAAAGTGGTTGTCTGGACTGTATACCAGAGTGCATTGTGAACAGCAATTCCAGTAGACTACATTGAAAGCAGTAAATGTAAATCACTGCTTCACGTAGAGAGTGAGTTAGGGGAATTGGAAAAGGAGGAAAAACAGGAGGAAAAGGGGAACTACTCCTCCTATTACCTAGTAGGTCAGCCTTAAATTAATCATTTCTTAATAGGGAGTAACGCTGAGTCACCTCAAGAATTAAAGGTTTACACAACAATGAGATTGGAGGAGAGAACAGTCATATGTAACATATCACATATGCATGCTAAGAAATATCGATATCATTTAACATTCATTCCCTCCACTAGCTCTCAGTATCAACAACGTGCACTGCAGAAATTCAAACAGCCTTAGACAGCAACTTTCCAAACCTACAACCACTTCCATCTAGAAGGGCAAGGGCAGTTGATACATGGAAACAACCATCTGCAAGTTCCCCTCCAAGACATTCACCAATCTGACTTGGAAGTATGTCACCTGAAATTCCTTCAGTAACGGCATTGTGTGTACCTATAGCATATAGGCTGCAGCGGTTCAAGAAGGCAGCTCACCATCATCTTCAAGGGCAACTAGGATCTGCCAATATATGCTGCCAGCTAGCAATGCCCACATTTTGAGTGAATAAAGCAAAATTTCCACAATTGTTTATTAGTACAGTACCTGAAAATGAATTCAAAGGAATTGGTTTTTGCTTTTCTAAATGGAAAAAGCAAGAACATTGTTTCTTATCCTTGATCTTGAATTAAAAAAAAAATCTTAGGATATCTCAGGACAAATCACTATTGTGCATCAATTGGATAAGATATGGGAACTTTGCATACCTCTCAGCTCTACTTTGATCTTCAAGTTGACTTTCAACCTGTTGATTTATTTGCAATTCTTGCTCAAGTGCTTGTCTTTTGCATTCATGATCTTCATGCATTTTATTTCTAACAAATTCCTCCCTTTCCTGGCTTAATGTGTTGAGCAGCTGTTGCTTCTCCTCTTCAAGATCATGAATAGTCGCTTTATATTTTGCTTCAACTTCAAAGGCAATTCTCTGCTTCTCAGACACCATTTCCTCCCTTTCAGTTTCTATTGTTTTCAAATATTCTTTCAGTTTAGTGGTGAGCTCTTCAACTTGTCCTCTTAATGCTACCTCCACATCAAGTGCTTGCTGTCTCATTACATCCAATTTATCTAGTTCTGCTTTAAGTAAGGCCTTCTCCTGTTCTTGCCTGTCTAACAGATCAGAAATACACTGATCTTTCTCTGTGGTCATTAGTATTCTTTCTTCTGCAAGGCCTACCTTGTATTCCTCATTCTTTAGCTGAAGTTGGTGTTTCAAGTCAGTTATCTCTTCCCTATATTTCTCAGTTTCAGTTTCTTTCATAACTTGACATTTTGCAATCTCTTCTTGTTGGACTTGAATCTCTTTCAAGCGCTGTTTTAATTCCTCGGTTTCCACTTCCTTCAAAGCCAATTCAGCTTCCAAACTGCACCTAAAGTCAGAAAGTTCAGATACTTTCAATTTATGTTCATTCAGTTCTTGTTCTCGGTCCTGAAGCATCATTGTAAGAGACTGCTGCACGCGATCTAACCTTGCTTCATTTTCCTTTGAGATTTGTTCTTGCAGATTACTATGATCAGTCATTAACTTTTTCAATTCTTGCTGATGCCTGACTTTCAGGTTATCTTCAAGGTCCTTCAGATGACTTTGTTCGAGAGTTTGAAGCTCTTCCCTTAAGCACTTCATTTCATGTTCAGCTTTTATATTAAGTCTGTTTAATTCTTCTAACAAACTCTCTTTCAATTGTTTGAGTTCTTGGATTTCGGTTTCCTTCTTTTTTCTATCTTCCACCAAGTCATGTATTTCTTTATCTTTACTGATTTGTAAACACAAGAGAGTTTCATTTTCAGTTCTTGCCTCAGCAAACTCACGGTCCTTCTGTTTTATGTAGTTTTCAAGTTCCAACAAATCCTTTTTCAGCCGATCTACATTTTGCTGAGCAGTCACTAATTCAACATTCAATTTGTCCATTTGATCTTCATAATCCTTTCTTAAAATCTCTAATTTTTGTTGGTAATTTTCCTTTGCTCCCACTTCAACTCTACATTTTACAGTTTCAATTATGTTTCTTAATTCTTCACTTACATTTTTCATAGAACTACTAATATCACACTGTTCTTTCTGAACAAGTTCTCTGAAACGATTAAGATCTTTTTTAATGTTTATAAAATGTAACTGAGACATTTCAGTGATAAGCCTGTATTTTTCTAAATGCACTTTAAGAGTTGCAACTTCTTTAGAATCCTCATTTTCACCAAAAGTTGTATCTTGCATTCGTCTATTATCAATGGCATTAATAACTGAAGAATATAATGACTCAAGCATCATTTCAGGACTTTGTGGGTCACTGTTCAAGTTGGGTGAAGTTGAGCTCTCCTCAATCATAAATTCATTTACAGCAGACACAAAATCAGACTCTGGACTTTCTGCCAATGAGTCCATATCTATAGATCCTTGTTTGAGAACTTGTTCTAAATTTGGATGAGGAATGGTTTCAAAATCAAATGTATGGGCATCAATACTATCAGGAGACAGCTCTTCTAACGAGGCAGGAACATTGGCAGGTGGACAGACTGGTCCCTGAAGGCTAAGTGTAGATGTGGATCTCGAAGAGGTAGTTTTAGTTCTGGTTGTGCTTTCCAACCTGTGTTTTGTTGGTGTCGTTATCGAAGGTTGATCCAGGGACACCTGTAAGCAGAAAAAAAAAATGTAAAAAGCATCAGTGAAAAAGTAGTTTCATGCAAGTTACAAAATAGCTCTAATTTTGTAAATTAACTGCCTACCCTATCTCAATTTTCTCCTCCTCCTTTTCCCTCCCTCCCACTTTTGCTTTTCCTTCACTCTCTTCCTCTTCCTGGTTTCCACACAGCCTCTACAAAACCAATTGCACTCTCCTCAATTTCTCAAACACATTCTTCCATGACTTAGTAATTGCCCTTCCTCTCAATTCTTCACTTTTTTCCAAAACTTTGGAGCTGACTATTCAAGTTCAACTTTCATGCACAAATGTCAAAAAGACGCAGAGCCAGTCTTTGGTCACTGGAGAAATCAACTTGACTTTATAATTCCAAAAACTATAAACAGCAGTGGTTTCAAAATAAGTAGAAAGTTAAGATATAGGTTTTATTATTCACTCAGGATGTGGGTGTCAACGTGTATGGCAGCATTACATCTTTACTCCTAATTACTGAAGTTGGTCGTGGTAAGTTTTGAACTGCTGCAGTCCATGGAATGGAGGACATCTATAGTGCTGTTAGCGAGAGTTTCCAGGATGTTGACCCAGTGATCATAGAGGAATGAGAATACCTTTTTAAAAGTAAGGATGGTGTTGGGCTTGGAGAGGGACTAGCAGTTGTTGATAGTCCCAGGTCTCTGCTGCTCTTGTGCTTCCAAGTCGTAGAGGTCTCGGGTTGGGAAGATGGTGTCAAATAAGTCTTGATACATTCCTTGTAACTTGTAATTGTAATCTTATAACTTCTGCCACTGTGCGCCAGTGGTGTAGGGAGTGAGTCCTGTGGGTATCAGATGCAGTGCTAATCAAGTGGACTGCTATGTTCTGGGTGGTGTTGAGTCTTTTGACTTTTGTTGGAGCTGCACCAATCCAGGCAAGTGTAAAATATTCCATCACTCTTTTGCAGTCACTTTGAGCAGTCACAGGTGACCTACTCACTACAAAATTCCCAGCCTCTGACCTGCTCATGCAGCCACAGTAATTATATGGCTGGACCAGTTCAATTTCTCATCAATAGTAACACCCAGAACAGTGCTAATGGGGGATTCAATGATGGCAAGGATATAGAATATGAATATCACAAGGACAATGTTCAAATCTCTCGTTTTAAGAGATCATTATTGTCTGTTACTTAGACAAGTATATTCACATCACACCATCAGCCCAGGTGTAAATATTATCCAGGCCCTGTACTAATTCAGTTTGAGGATTTACAAAAGGTGCAATCATTGGTGAACATCTTCACCCCTGAACTTGTGATGTAGCAATGCTAATTGATGAAGCAGCTGAAGATGCTGTTGGGCCAAGGACATCACTAAATAACTCCTCTAGTTATGTCCTACAGTTGAAATGACTGACCTCCAGCAACCATACCTATTCAGCCTCACTTCCCTGCTCAAGCCAATCTGAACCAAGACTGTAATGAAATGAGGAGCTGAGTGAGCCAGGTGGAACCCAAAACAAAGTGACAGCGAGTAGGTTATTGTTGAAAAAGTGCTGCTTCCAAGTATTTAGTTTTCAAATCACCTCAAGTTTGCAGAGGGTAGAACTTGGGAAATTAGCCAAGAATCAAAGCTAAAATCTGCAGAGGCAGTGATGCAGATTTCAGCATTAGATTAGCTGTGCCATGATTTAAATTAGGCAAAATTAGAGGTAGTAACAGAAGGTCCTGGTGAAGGTGTTGTGATGATGCTGTGGCTTTAAGATGCAAAAGTCCTGGGTTTTATTTGAAGACAGGTTATAAGGCAGAGGTGGCAAGCAATCTACCAGAACCACTACAGTAAACAGCACGTATGGCCTTTTTTTCCCTAAAAGTTGGAACAAATGAATTAGCCCGAATGGGTGTAGTCAAACTCCCACACAGCCAGGATCTTTAGCTTTCAGCAGTTACTGTTGGGGTCTTGAAGAAATGAAAGTTATTTGGTACAATAATAGGTGCAAAAAACTGATTTCAGAGATTCAACCAGAGTTACGAGAAAGATCCCAGCACTGATTGAGGGGAAATGAGGCTTAAAGGTAGGGTAGCAGCTTGCAGGGATACATGCATTAAGGGTTTCTTCTTGCAGATAGGAAGGGAGGAAAATGATTCCAGATTTGAAGAAAAGTGAACCGAGCTTAAGGGGAGATAACTATTAATAATCAGCTCATATGGAGTAGGAATACAGTCAAGAGAACAGAATATGGGTCACATGGACAAGCATAGCTCAGATAGTACATACGTGCAAACAGTAGAGAAAATCAGAGAAAGATGCAAAATCATGGCTGAGAAGTAGGGTGATCAGACGTTCTAATTTTTGTGACAAAAACAGAAGAAGTGCACAAGTTCATCCCACTTATTATTTGAGGTAGCAAGGAACATTAGATTAAGATATTATAAATTAGTTATACCTAACAGAATAGATTGGAACAAACATAAAAGACTGAACAAAGGGTGGCCAACTAAAAATGCTTTCATAATCTCAAGGATTTAGTATATGCACATGTAGGGAATGTAAATGCTGAGGTAAGGCCAAAACTTAAGACTGTCTTCTATGTAAGGCTTAACAACAAATCTAGTGAAAACTTCAGGTGGAATTTCTTTACCCAAAGTCTAAGAATGTAGAACTCACTACTAAAGGAATAAGATAAATGACAGACACATTAAAAAAAAGAGAGAGGAACCAATGAGGGAGAAAAGAATAGAGAGATATGGTGAATGCTAAATAAAGGAGGGGAGGGGAAGGTGCATGAGGAGAATGTATTGAACAGAATACATGTTTCCGTGCTCCAAATACTTGGCGATTGTATTGTTTCACACTGAATTCAACTGGCCTGAAGCCTTTGATGCAGACATGGTTCACCTCAAACAGAAAGAGTCCCATTCTCTGGCACTGATGAGCAATTCAGGTGGATACAGCTGTTAAGTGTACACTAGCTTAATACTCAGGACAAATGAATGTGATGAATCTTTAGTAATTCTTCAATTAATTAAAGGCTAAGCCACTAAACATAAAGTCCACAAGTACTGCATTGCACTGACATTATAATCGGTTCGCAAGTGACAAGCTGACAAAATTCTTGAACCTGGAAGAATACACAACCTCTTTGGAGCTTTTCAAATGATGGTTGAATTTACAAGACAAATTGGATTTTCCCGATTCACAGAGATAAATGCATTAATGGACAGAAAAATACACAAGTGTTTTAACAGTTTAAAACTGGATTTGCTTTAATTGTTATGGAGGAAATAATTTTCTGTCATGGTTAGGAAACAGCAAATTAAAATTTTAAGTCCTACTAATTAATACAAACCATTACCTTTTGCTCAGTCAACAAGTCTGTGATGGTTTGGGACATTTCATCCCAACTCTGAGCAGCTTTGACTAAATTACACAGGATTTGAAGATGCTGGTGCAATGGTTCAAAGTCACACAGTGTAGGAATCCTTTTAAAAAAAAATAAATAAAATGAGCTCAAACATACACTGAAAATCTCTTCATGCTTCCACTATATTCATTATTATAGCCAAACAATTTAACCAAAAACATAATAGTGATTTTGTATTAATGGCAGCATGACAAAAAGCATATCTTGGCTTATTCACCTGCTCTTCACCAAACAAGAAAATTCAAGACAATGTGAAAATTATTTAGAAAATACTCTGACACCATTTTCAAACTTATTGTAGTGCTTAAGTTGTAGAAATAAGCACTGTAATCTGACGTACCAATCAATTGCCTAAAATAAAATGAAATACACTGCAACTACAATTGCTATATAAATGACTCACCAAATGCACTTGTGCTATGAGAAAACCAGTAGAGGTAATTCACTTCATTTGAGAGAGGAAGGTTATTAAATGTGGGCAAATTTAGACAACCTATCCTTTTCAGTACTGGTGACATGGCAAAAAAGGTGGAAGCTGTTAGCCTGTTAACCTCTCCATTGAGAACTGTGCATGACTGAAATGATAATCATAAAAGAGCTGGAAACTGTCTTTTATTTTAAATGCTCACCTTTACAAGTAGTAGTCCTCACTTCAGGAACCAAGTTATCCTCAACATACCATGGCTGAGGTCAGCAAACGGCAATGGAAAAATAAAAACAAAACTAAGACTTTCAGCCAGAACTACATGACATTAATATAAAATATAAATTGTGTCCCTGAGTGACCATCTCTTCATCCAGAGGGACAAAAGAAGAAAAAAGGCCTCCCCATGCGAGTCAATTAACAGAAAGCTTTTGACAACGTTCAAAACAATTAAATGCTAACTGTTCAGCATGGTTAACTTAACCTAATTACCGTTTTCTTCAAGGACTTAAATTTAAGTAGATGAAATTGTTTGCATCATGTGTGATGTGCAGGAAAGATGAAACAGTAAACTTCAAAGAATGAAAAATAAAAAATCATTTTGCAGTTAACTTCATTTGAAGTATGAGAAATATGGCACCACAAGATGAGTAAATCTATCTTTCTCCATTTGTTATCCTCCATATACTACAATGTAGACTTATAGGAGCAACAGTAAATCTTTTCATTCAGTGAAATAGCTGAGAGCCTCTGCAACATCTATGCAAGCAAATCCAAATGATGCCTCTCAAATGTAGGCATCATTAAATGACTGGATTTAAAAGGCATAACTGTCAAGACATTTGCCTTCATGGTTTCTCCACACACAGGAGTTACTGGCCTTCTGGTTATTCTGCTACTGTATTAGATAGCTGCTTTTCAAAACATCAACTAACCAATCAGGAATTTTGTCAATTGGTATTTTATCTTCAGTATTTCTTTCCAAAGATTAACAAAACTTGGAATGTTAATTTGAATAATCTAAATCCTATAAACATTTCAAAAATAAAATCCCTGGCACCAACACAGAGAAAACTACATTTAAATTCACATGTACACAGTTGGACAAAGGGTACCAAAATGCTACGGGATTCAAAGGCACTGGACAAGAATGTGTTATTCTCCTCAACCTACTGTAGTACTACAAGTGAAAGTTCACTCGGACTAGTAAATCGTTCACTTTTATGATATTTCTCATTGGGTCACAAGTTCTTCCTATCGAAAACTTCATGTAATAAGCAACTCATCACGTGAAGTTCAACTAGGAGATTATGCTTATATTCAAATTTCCAGGTTTTTCATGCACTCTTACTCTTCTGGCAAACTTAAACACTGAAATAATATAACTTATTCTTTAAACTGTGAGACAGCATCTTCACAAGTGTACTGAAATACTACTAAGTGCCTATAGTTGGTGATGTGACAGTGGTGTTGCAAAAGCTAAATATATGCCAAAAGAACAGGATACCGGTTAGCTTTCATAAATTTCATGCCTTTGTCTCAGGAACTGACATCAGATATAAAAGTTTGAAAGCAGCAGAGGGGTGAGCAAGAAAATTGTTTTATTACCCTGACCTTCCATGTTGCCTGCATGGCATCTGTGTGAAAATGGTCAACCATCAAAAGGTACAAGCACATGCAGTGGACAAGGTATTATAAACAGAGAAAAAGTTTGAAAGAAAAATCACAAATATCATCTAGAAGAGGAAAAAAAATAAATCAAATGTTTTCTCTTTACAGCAACCAATTCAGTTTCCTATATTCCTCCTCCTCTTTGGTGGTTGCTTGGGATTAAGGTTGAATTGATACCACTTCTGCGTAATGAGTTCTGAAACGGCTAATAAATCCAATGTGCAATCTGCAGATTCTGTCACGTGGAACAGATGGGTTGTTTTGAGGTCTGTGCACTGCCTCAGACACTATGATCTCACCTCTCCCTGTTCCTGACAATGCTTTTTTTGATGTAATCAATGGTTTCCCAAATTAGCTTCTTCTATTTTGTTCAGTCATGAGCCAGGTTTTTCTTGAACCAGCAAGGATGGCTAACCTCTTCATGAGTGCTTTGAAGGCATCCCCAAAGCATTTTCACTGCACTCCTTGGAGTCTTAACATGTGGAACAGTTGCTATGTGTCAGTCATCTCAGTTCCAGGATATCTCTGGAGGAGTTCCGCAGCATTGTGTCCTGCACCTAACCATTTTCAGTTGCTTCAATGACATTTGCTCTATCATAAAAGGCCAGAAGTGGGGTATGCTAATGGTGACAATGTTCAGCACCATTTGGTACCACTTAGGTACTGAAGCAGCCCATGTCAATATCCAACAAGACTTGGACAATATCTGGGCTGAAAAGGTGATAAGTAACATTTGCACCACACAAATGCGAGGCAATAGACCGTCTCTTTTTGGAGACGGCTAACTACCACCACTTGACGTTCAAAGGCACCATCAGTGAAGCCCCCACTATCAATGTTCTGAGGGGTTTTGTTAACTAAACGCTGAATTGGACTAGCCATACAAATACAGTGGTTACAAGAGCAGGTCAGAGGCTAGGAATCCTACAGCAAAACTCATCCACCAGCTTCCTAAAGCCTGTCCACGATCTACAATGTACAAGTAAGGAACGTGATGGAATACTCTCTACTTTGCTTGGATACGTTCCAACAACACTCAAAAAGCTTGCCATCATCCAGGACAAAGCAACCTGCATGGTTGGTACCACATTCACAAATATCCATGCTTCACACCAATGAAGCTCAGTAGCAGCAGTGTGCACCATCGACAAGATACACTGAAGAAACTCAAAAGATCCTTATATAGCACATTCTAAATCCATAATCATTACTATTCAGAAGGACAAGCGCAACAGATACGTGGGAACTCCACCAGCTGCAAGTTCCCTTCAAGACATTCACCACCCTGACTTGGAACCATCTCAAATGTTCCTTTCGTGCCATTGGGTAAAATCGTGGAATTACCTCCATAAATGACATTGTAAATCTAGCTATAAACACCAACTACAATTGCTCAAGATGGTCATGACCAGCTTCGAGGGCAATTAAGAACAGGCAATAAGTGCAGGTCTAGCCAGCAATACTGACATCCTACAGGTAATTGTTTTTTTAAAAGTCTGATTAGGGATGGTATGCTCCACACTGTAAATCACTAACAGTAACAACACCTTGAAAGTAGCGCATAGGTTCTCGTGGTCATGGAAAGAACTATATAATGGTAAGCCCCTTTTGTACCTGCCAGGACATACGCTACCTTCACTTAAGAGCTGGACACTATTCAGTAAACACTTTAATCAATATAAACGTGGAGCAAAGGAATCATTAAGTCAAGGCCTAGAGTTGAATGCACTTTATATGCTTCAGTATCAGGTGAAAAAGGCTACAGCAGCAATTTGACATTGGGGCAACACAATATTGAAAATTACTGGACATTGTCTCCAAAGACAGAGCTGTGTCTAATGTGAGCTTACAGTTCAACCAAAAATCACAATGCACCAAGCTTGTGAAATTAAGGTAAAAAAGAAAATGGCCTTATTGGACTCTATTTGGGTAATATTGGCAGGATTGTTACTTATTCCCTAATTATCAGTGGTGGTGGTCGTCTGCTGCCTTATTGAAATGATGGAGCCAGTGTGAATTAAGTATATCCACAGCATTATTACTAGCTAGCAAATTCCAAGATTTTAACTCAATGACAGTGAAGGAACAGCAATATAGTTCCAAGTGTGGATGGGAGAGATGTTGCTGTGGTGATGCTCTCTTGCATCTGCATCGAGGTTGTAAAGATTCAAAGTTCAGAATGCCCTGAAAAAGGGGCCTAGCTGAACCTAAAGATGGTACACATTGTTACTGCTGTGTGTTGGTGATGGAGAGTGAGAGTGAAAGTACCCAAGATGGATGGGGTGCCAAATCAAGTAAGCTGCTTTATCCAAGGTATCAAGGTTCTGCTGTAAATTTTGGAGCTGCACTCCCCCAGAAAAGTGAACAGTATTCTATTACAGTTCTGACTTCTCAAGTGAAGATAGCAGAAATAATTTGAGTAAGGCAGTGAGTAACTCAATGATGGAAGAGCCCAGCAAATCAGTGCAAAAGATAACGTTGAAGCATTCACAGTCGTCTTTGGCCAAAGTGCCAAGTGGATGATCCATCTTGGCCTCCTCCAGTGGTCCCCAGCATTACAGATACCAGTCTTCAGCCAATTCGATTCAATCCACGTGATATCAACAAATGATGATTGGAGACACTGGACACTGCACAGGCTATACACCCTGACGACATTCTGGCAATAGCACTGAAGACTTGTGCTCCAGAAATTGCTGCTCCCCTAGCCAAGCTGTTCCACTACAGTTACAACGCTGCTATCTACCCGACAATGTGGAAAATTGCCCAAGTATGTCCTGTACACAAAAAGCAGGACAAATCCAACCGGCCAATAACCGCCCCATCAGTCTACTCTCAAGCAAAGTGATGGAAGGTATCATCAACAGTGCTATCAAGCAGCACCTGCTCAGGTGACACCAGGGCCACTCAACTCCTGACCTCATTACAGCCTTGGTTCAAACATGGACAAAAGAGCTGAATTC